ATTTCAGTCTTTGGGGCAGGGGCTGTTTCTTACTCTAGGTCAGGGGTCTCAAACTCAAATGACCACGAGGGCCGCATGAGGACTAGTGCATTGGCCTGAGGGCCACATCACTGACACACACCCCTCACTGCCCCCAGCCCTGCCCCCATTCCAGCCCCTTCCATGAGGCCCCACCCCTGCCCTGCCCCCATTCCAGCCCCTTCCCTGAAGTCCTCACCCCAACTCTGTGAAGTGTGAAAAATCTGGACAGGGGTGGGGGGTAATAGGAGCCCATATAAAAAAAGCCCCAAATATCAGGACTGTCCCTATAAAGTCGGGACATCTGGGTCACCCTAGCCGGAGTCCCGCGGGGCTGGGGGGGTGGAAACAGCGCCATGTGCTGCTCTTGCTCCTCCAGGTACCTCCCCCAAAGCTCCCATTGGCCACAGTTCCCCGTTCCCAGCCAATGGGAGCTGTGGAGGGCAGTGCCTGGAAGTGAGAGCACGGAGCCCTCTACTCTTCCCCCTGCCCAGGGCTGCAGGGATGGTAGTACTTAGAAAGGACACTAAGCCTGAGTGGCTAAAAAGCAGTAGGACAGACCTGTAAAGAAAAGGGCTTTTTTTCTTTCTAAAAGCCACAGACAACACCAGTATCTAGTCCAGGGTCCAGTATCTAGTCCAGCGGTGCGGGGCTCACGGCGCTGTGGGGTAGGCAGTGGGGGCGTGGGGAGCTTGGCGGGCCACACAAAAGAACCCCGCGGGCCGCATGTTTGAGACCCCTGCTCTAGGTGTACATACAGCACCTAGCACAATGGGTCCTTTGTCTCAGTCAAGATCTTTAGGTGTTACAGTAATACCAATAAATGCATCCTATATTGTACATAGCATAGCTCCCTTAGTTCAACCTGTAAGCAGATACATATTTGCCTCTAGAGAACAGCTGAAAGCTCAAGTCAAACTTTTACAATTAATTGTAAAAAGTACTGTGTGGGTGGGTGGGGGGAGAGCTGGTCCACACTAACCCCCTGCTTCGAACTAAGATACGCAACTGCAGCTACGTGAATAACGTAACTGAAGTTGAAGTATCTTAGTTCGAACTTACTGCGGGTCCACATGCTGTAGGCAGGCTCCCCTGTCGACTCCGCGTACTCCTCTCACGGAGCAGGAGTACCGGCGTCAACAGCGAGCACTTCCGGGATTGATTTATCACGTCTAGACAAGGCGCGATAAATCGATCCCAGAAGTTTGATTGCTTACCGCTGGACCCGGAGGTAAGTATAGACGTACCCTGGGTGTGC